AGTATAAGGGTGTAACTTGACACGTACAGTATAAGGGTGTAACTTGACACGTATAGTATAAGGGTGTAACTTGACACGTATAGTATAAGGGTGTAACTTGACACGTACAGTATAAGTGGGGTGTAACTTGACATGTACAGTATAACACCCTTATACTGTATGTGTCAAGTTACATCCTTATACTGTTTGTGTCAAGTTACACCATTATATATGTGTATATGTAAAACTCTGTTTCTGATCCTTTATGCCAGTATATTTCCATCTCACCAGTATTAAAGGTCACAAGACAGTTTCATTTTGATATCTTTAAACATTTTTTAAAGTTATAGCCCTGACAAGATATTTTTAGAAGAACAAAGAACCTTTACTTATACAATTCTCCCTTTATTTGAAGGGCAGGCATAATGAAGCCAATCTTATAATAAAGCATAATTCACATATCATATTAAAATCCATATTCAAAGCTTAACCTACATTCTACTTACTGTTGTGGTGTTCCACTTGCAATACTAGATATTCCTGTCTGAAAATACAAGAATTAAGAAAACAATCTTAAAGCTGATAATTGGGTATCAATTTAATCAAGAAACACCGACAGATCTTAGTTTATTACATTCTAAATCTACTGCAGATTTACTCAGTGATTTTTGTTTGTCAATTTTAAGTTATTTTATACATGCACACTAGCCTACAGCATAACCAAATCAACTTGTTGATTTTATTGTTATCTTATTTGATTATTTTTTACAACTAAGTATACATATACAAGAGGCCCAATGGGCTTGCATCACTTACCTTGTATTAATTTAACACGTGTTACCTTAAAAGTGGACTTAGGTCAGATATATTTAAATAGACTAAGTATAGCTTCTGGCAAAAAATATCTTTACCTATGACTCCTGGTCCTTTGAAAAATCTGTTGAAAGACTTCAACTAATTGGCTTGTGTGACCTTGAAATTCTAACAGAGGACATGTATTCAGTTGAACAGGATGAATATGTATAGCACTTCATCTAAGCATGCAGCTATCTAAATATCATCAACCTGGGTCTTTTGGTTATTACTAAGAGACCATTCAAAGGTTTATACAAATAAGACCCCAGTGACCCTGAAAGTAGGTCAAGGTCATTCATTTGAACAAATTTGATATCTCTTCATTCCAGCATGCAACTGGCCAAATATCATTGCCCTAGTCCTTTTGAGTATTGAGAGATATTTCTTTAAAGATTTTAATATCTTTGACCCCTGTGACATTAAAAGGGGGTCAAAGTCACTGATTTTATACTTGGTAGCCCTCCATCTCAGCATGCTACTGGCAAAATATCATCTCCCTATTCCTATTGGTTATATAGAAGAAATCAGTTATATGAAAAACTGAAAAGACAGACAACTGATGCCACACTACGGCATAAGCTCACTTTGCCCTGTGGGCTAGGTGAGCTAAATATTGGTCCTTTTTTTCTGATGAGAGACAGAAAGAATACAAATAATAACAGTCATCGTAATATAACACATAAACAGTTCACTGGCTGTGCTATATGAACCTGTATATGTAACCTATGTTACCAGTGTACGTGTAGACGTATATATATGTAGATGTTTATAGATCCGTATCGGGTCCTTTACTCAAAGGGAAAACTTTCAGGGCCGTAATATACCGAGCAGCCCAAGGTCTCCAGACACTGATATAAACAGAACAATCATTTCAATCTCTTCTGGGAAGGATGATAATTCTGAACCCAGTACCCAGGGTTTCAGGGAACTTCTAGAAAGTCTGGTATGGAATGTTCGACCGGTGAGAACCTGTAAACCTCCGGATAGATATGGAAATTGGGTAACCTTACAACTTGCGATGAGAGGACCTGATACTGATGAAGTATTTGTGTAATTTTGTAACTGTATCATTTTAAGTATAGCTAGTTGAAGATTTGATTTTATGTGTAGTGTTCCTGTGCAAATATGCTAGAAGGGGTGAAATACTACCCAGGTTCAGCGTAATGACTGGACACCTGTTGCAAGACATTAGGGTGTGTATGTAGGTGGCATCTTATCATACCTGGTACCAGGGAAGGATTCTTTGGATACCAAAAGTTGAATCATTTTGTAATATTGTTGTATTGAAGGACACAGTGATGGTGACACATTTGTGTTCAATCCTGAGATTTATCTCCAGGTTCAGCTGAGCCACTCATAACATTGTACAAATAATTTTAGTCAAGAATTTTGTTTTTTTCCACGAATAATGTGACTGCTTTGTTTTATTTTTAGATTAATGCATGGGTATACAATACCATGTTGTAATTTGAATATTGGTTTATTTACCTATTCAGGCAGTCCTTAACTCGACCTTATATGGCTGCACATCAAAGTTTTTTTAAGTCACAAACTGAATGTAATTATCATGGTAATAATTAAGTAATTAAGTAAATGTTAATGATTGGACCATGCTCACGAGAGCACGTCTCATTTATAGCTGCATTAGATTCTGGTACACCTGCGAAGTTCTAGTACAGATACTGCCGCTGGGAGGCCTAGTAAGTACATGTATGCGTGCTTGGATGTTAGAATGAGGGCGTGAATCAATTTGGTGTGTTAGTTGTTATCTGGTCTGTTTTCATTTTTTTAATAATAGTAATAATTTGAAGTTCTTATATACCGCTTTATCACAACCTAGTTTGTAGGTCGTCTTAAAGTGGTTCACAAATTATTATCCGTGGTTATAGGGCCTTTGCAACCAGCCAATATCTTTCTCAACTCCCTGGGGAGCATACAGCCGGTGCTGTCATTTCGGCGCTAACAGCTAGCATTCTACAATTCTAGCACTGCCCAACAACATACTCATTTACAGCTGAGTAGACTGGAATAAGCAGAGTAAAGTATCTTGCACAAAGATACAACACAGTGCCGTGCTGCAACTCAAACCTGCAACCCTTCGGTCACAAGCCTGGCGTTCTACCATTAGACTACAGTGTCTCCTACCGTGTTTCAGTGTTGTAATCTTGTTTGTTTCTTCTTTGTAGGTTTTTATATCTGAATCATGAATCAACCATATTTGAACCCTATCGTCTTCGATTTATTGTGACCCTGGTGACATATACAATACATGTCTATATTTATCAACCTGAAGAAAAGTCTTGGTTTTTTTTTAAATCAGTGTTTCTAAAATAACTTTATGTTGTTCTGGTTGTATCCAAACTTAATTAACTCTTATGTAAGATCATTTGAAAACACTGCCTTTTGTTGGGTCATAGGTAATTTCCTTTGATTTTCGGTGCTAGTTTTCTCTCATGAAACTTGGCTAATATTTGTAGTACAGTGTGTAAATTTCAGGTAATATTGCTTTTTATGACCAAAAGTTATTAATTCGCAATGTTGTCAAGGATTTTATAGGTCCCTTTCTTGAAACTTGACAAACCAACCAAATATCCAACATGCGCACTTATATAAGTGGTCATAAATTAGGAAACGCCACTTTCATTGTGGCCAGTTATTGTGATTATCATCATCAGTGTAAAATAAAGTCGGAAAACATTTCGTTGTTGGAAACTGCCATTAAGGACCTCACAGCTTTAATTTGCCTTAGGCCATAATAAATTATTTGCTAGATTCTCATCCCCGCCCGCCCCCTCTTTGAGGCCCCGCCCCAATTTTTTTTATTTGCGAAAAAAAAACGAAAATACGAAATCCGGATTTTTTTCTCGTTTTCCGCTTCAAAAATTAGTTTTATATTATCAATTTCCGGTTGTAGAAAACTCGTCGTCTGCAAGTATGGTTTTTGTAATTCTAAAGCTGAAACGGCAACTTGCCGTTCTTAAAGATTGGTATGGGTGTTCAGTAGCCGATACTAAAACATTAATGCAAGTCTTTACTGAATTAGCCGAAGGAACAATTGACAAATCTGCGCCCGTCGAGTGTGGTAACAGGGCCGTTGTGTCGGCCGGTAAATCGAAAGTGGAACTGACCCAGTGTGATGGCGCATGTACGGTGGGGGAAGTGGTGTCGTACCTCGGAGCTTATTTAGAATTTAATATTGATGCTGATACAGAAGAGCAGTCGGCAACTGCCAGTGCGAAATCCGACGCATTTACAATTTTAATGTCGGGATTTTCTAAAGCAACAATGGCAAGGTCACTGTAACTAAAAGAGGACGATATGTGAAAAAGTAGACTGGCCACCAGCCCCTAAGTTTTTATGAAGAATTTCTCGACTGCATTTTACTACTAGCTTATCTCCCCCTAGTTTAGAACTTAGAATCAGACATCCAAGTGATCAAAATTATTAGAGTTAGTTTTTTCTTAATTATTTAATATTCTAGAGACGGTGGCCAGTCTAGTGAAAAAGTAATGTGGTGTGTATTCATACCAAAAGTTAGTACAGATATATATGTTGACTGAACAGTGAAATGGTGTTCAATGTGTATACTGCATAGTCAAAGTTGTTATTAACAAAAAATAAAGATAAATGTACACTGAACATGCGCCTTTATTGCACTATTCTAACACATTTGCAACCATTTCAAATTTTAGGAAAAATAAGAAATAAAAAATAAAATTCGCCCCCCCCGCCCCAATTTTGAAAAGAATTTGGATGAGAATCTAGCAATTAATTTATTATGGCCTTATTAGCAGTATCAATGTCTTGTTAAAACAAATAGCCCACCCATGAGTTGGCATAAATAAACAGTTTTCAGTTTCTTTATAAATATTCGCCCCAAGACTTTGTTTAGCTATTGACCCAACTGCAAAAAAAACATCCCGATTGAATTACAAAGTATTCCATTTAGTTTATTTCAACTAACACAATTACAAAACCTTGTGACCTTACATTATGACTTGTGATCTCAAAATAGTTGCAAGGGTTTGTATATAAAAAAAAATAATGTAGTTTTAACCTGAAAAGCATCTAATTTACTAGCATCAATCTGACTTGATTTTTGCAGAAAGAATGAATAGAGAAACATTATTCTACACTGACTCTTACCTGTGGGGTTTGTGTTGAATCATTAGAACCAACATTCATAAATGCTGGCAAAGGTGCAGGGGGACTGACCCCAATATTAGCTCCCCCTGGTGGTGACTGCAATGTCATGTCTGTTTTGGAGACAGCAGAATCTGAAATGTAATACACGTATCATTGACACACTAAATTCCTGACAAAAATAGCAGAAAACTTACGAATATCAAAATTTTACAATGCTGAAACCTAAATCACATATAACATTTGAAAGCTCTCAGATGTACTGTATTTCTAATATATATATGCTGTATGTCAATCTACACATGCTACGATATCTGCTTACCAGGAGTCTGTGGATCTTCCTGCATTCTAGAAGCCAGTTCAGCTTCCTCCTTGGTGATAATCTCTGCTGATTCATCTGAAGATTCCTCCATCATGATGGCCTCTTACTGTATGGTTACCCTGCAGTCGCTAGTTCCAAAATCAAAGTGCCCCAGACAGCTGAAAAATTCATAGAAATATTGAATTGTTGAGTCAACACAGGAGAAGTATTGACTGCTTCACGTATAAAGTGATGTGCCAAAAGCTAGTGCGCATTATGTTGTTTGCTTGCAAAGCTGTGTCATTCAAATAGATCATGAATGCCATACAAAAACAGCTCAATGCTTTAACATTGCAAATGAATATATGTGGGCCTAGTTGTTCAAAAGGTGGTAATTCAACTTATTATAGAATAATACTCATTGATTAACGACATTTCCGACCCCTAATAATTTGGTCAATATACAAGTTTTAACTCATATAATTTATTGGCTGCGTTTTAAAAATACATTTTTTTTTTATATTTAGATAATATAACATTGGCTGCTAACACTAAAGGAAACCAGCATGATCAATACCACTATCACGGGAAAGGCACCTGTGGACGTCTGTCAACACATACAGAAGCCAGTCTTTATCGACATGTCCTAAAATTACTCCAGTATGGTGGAGGTATATTGATGACGTGTTTATCATCAGGACCCATTCCAGAGAGGATCTTTCTTCCTTCTTCGATTCAATGAACTGACTCATTTCACGCAACCATCAAATTGACCACAGAGATCAGTGATGTTCAAGTGGACTTTTTAGACACTACTGCTTCATTAGGAAGGACAACTCTTTAGGCACCGAAGTCTTCAACAAGCCCACTAACGCGTTTATGTTTACATTACCATAGCTGTCACCCAAAACATGGGATATATCTTTTCATATATCTAATTATAATATAATGGTCAATTTATCCATTTAATTGCGATAACATTAATTAATATTAATTACTAACCTGAGTTATCGGAAGTTTGTAAATGATGTGGATTAATCAGGTTACCTTACAAGCTTCAGCTGTAGGGAATTTCCCCTTTAGCTTAGCTGTAGTGCATCGGGCTGGAGAGCCAAGGGTCGCGGGTTCGAGCCCCAGCAACGGCACTATCTTTATTACTATTCCTTGTTCTATTACAAACAGGTGCTGTTGACCCTCCCAGTTCAAGGTGCGGGGAGTCAAAGAACCTGGGTTGTCGTTAGACAAATGGGGGGAATAGTGTAAAAGATATGGATTAATTAGGTTGCCTTACAAGGGTCAGCTGTAGGGAATTTACCTTTAGCTCAGCTGTAGAGCATCGGGCTGGAGAGCCAAGGGTCGGGGGTTCGAGCCCCAGCAACGGCACTATCTTTATTACTATTCCTTGTTCTATTACAAACAGGTGCTGTTGCCCCTCCCAGTTCAAGGTGCGGGGAGTCAGAGAACCTGGGTTGTCGTTAGACAAAAGGGGGGAATAGTGTAAAAGATGTGGATTAATTAGGTTGCCTTACAAGCGTCAGCTGTAGGGAATTTACCTTTAGCTCAGTGGTAGAGCATCGGGCTGGAGAGCCAAGGGTCGCGGGTTCGAGCCCCAGTGATGACAGCACTATCTTTATCATTATTCCTCGTCCTATTACAAGTTTCTTATATATGTACTTTGAAATTGGGGTTATCAGACTTGAAAACAATATAACCTCACATGTAAAAGGTTCCTCAGACTTTGTGGGTACTTTAATTAGGGGCTGAAAATCGTATCTTTGCCCTAGCTGACAAGCTATTTCTGGCAATACCGGTCGGCAAGTAATGAAGAATTTTACCTCATTTTTTTGTGAAGCTTGTTTATGTTGAGAACACTCCCACCTACCACGTCTTATTTTGTTCTTCTCCTGCTTCACAGAAATACTATCATAAAGGTTTCATGGTCCTTGATCATGTGTACATGGTCTGTGTGAAAACACCATAGTAAATTCCACGTCTTGTGGAAAGGAAGAGCGTGATATATAACTATTTTGTGTTGGTGTTGTGGTCTCTATCTTAGCCGATCTGGCAGATATTGTCAATGTTATTGTTCTAACCAGTTATGTTATTGTTATATAGACGAGTACCAATATGCCCTAAACTGTTAAAGATGAGAGAAACTGTCTCTTTCTCTTAATATTTGCATTGGACAGGAAATAGCCGGTACTCGATTTGTAATGGTTTAAATCGTCACTCTGATTCATTATGTGACAACGTAGGGTTACCGACTTGTGTGCCAAGTAAACTAATAATAACAATTCTGAGACTGGAGATGAAAGAGTCCCCGGTCCGATTTTGTAACAAATCACAGAATTTATAAAACAATTAATGCCTATTGGCAAAATATTACTATCACCTATACCTGCAAATTCCAAGCGAATGCACGTCCAAAGTATAAACGATTCAGTTTAAAAACTTTGTTTAACAACACTGACAGTGTTTACTGTAGGCCTACTGCTGGAAAGATGGCCCCTTCTCACTTTGACGTCATAGCCACGTTGCGAGATCTTAATTAGAACATCCGGTGTTTCCCAGTTCTTAAAATAGATATGATAATGTCCCTAAATGACCTAACAAATAAGTCACTGGCTTGCCTCATTTTAAATTGTTTCCGGCCTGATTATTTTCTGAAATGTAATCAAATAATGTCGACAGCAAACAGTGGAGAAACAAGTACAATGTAATGGCGTTTGAATTTTTTGACAGAAGTAGGCAGGTAGAGTTAACATATACTAGACTACTCAGAGACGTACACTGCGACAAAATATATTGTTTTTATAAATACCATAGGCCTACTGGACTACAATTTTATACTCTTTTATGTTACCTGTTTTAGGACCAGAAATCAACATTTAAACATGCTTATATATAATTAACCCCTTCATTATCCTCCAAAATTTCCTCGACGTACATCATTTTTACTGGTTTTCTGATGTGTTTACTTTGAAGTCATCTTGTACTTTTTTTAAATGTCACTGAAAACAAACTATTTGGTGGAAATGTTGACAAATATCTTTCTTGTTATACCATCAGAGGAAAATGCTTTAATTTAATTTAAAAGTACTATTCGAACCATTTTCTGACCGTGTACCAATTTGGGTAGAGTACCAATTGTGGGAACGTGACGTTATATCATAGCACCACGGATCGAATCCCTTTCACACTTTAAATAGAAATGAGCCAAACATAGCTAGGTCTCTGTATATTACAGCTCAATTATCTTAGCCATCTCTAAGTTATCGTTACAGTGTATGCTTCACAGTGAGTGCCAATGTAGGATTCTAACACCACAGTTTGATAAATAATCACAATTTAAACCAGAGACGTATACACATATGTATATATATTTTGTAATATATACGTCTCTGTTTAAACCAGAAACGCATATTACATTTAATATACGTCTCTGTTTAAACCAAGTTCTCTCTAATAGCACAAGATTTGAAACAAGTAAAATCTAAAACTTATTATGAGGTTCATAAAACCACGGAATTCGATTAGTCCGTGATATTAGCCAACTAAATCGAAACGTGAAAAGTAAAATACATCTATATTGCAATATAAAAATATAATTATAAAGAGGAATCTTGTCTATTGGCATTAGGTTTTGACTTAAGTCGGCTAATTACTTATTACTGAATTTCGAATAAGCGACCACAATTTGGAGATTGAAGCCAGTAGGAATAAACAGATTTCCAGAAGCGACAAAACGATGAAAACAAAATCTTCTCCCATTGTTTAGCTTATTAAAATTTGAGAAATGATTTCCTACTCAATAGCAATACAAAATACATACAAATCGTCTCCGTTATATTACAAGCTGACGATCTCGGTCTGACAGTGTATGAGGAATACTAGTCTCTTTATTAACAGTCACTTGAACTGAAGAAGGTGGGCTTGCAATTGCTTGCTTCGTGATAATGCGCTAATGAATTTAGGATAATGTATCTCTAACATATTGAGACTAAATGTTCACTCACACTGTATATAACTCCGAATATTATTGTCCTATGTTGCTTTGTATTTATATGTCCTGCTATCAACTTACCATGTATACATGTACAAAAGTGCAAACACAATTATTATCATATTATTTATTACTTTGACAACAAGTCCGTTTTTCAACCTTGTATCTCACAGGCATCAGTGTTAGAAGTTTAATTTAATTTAATTTTACGAAATTTAAACAGTTTTGTTTTAACCCGACGGAAGAATTGGAGAAATTGACTCTTTATTAATACACATGTTATTAAGAAAAATATGTTCCGTAAAACCACAAAAAATTAAGAATCTTCGATAAGTTGAGACACTCACAAACAGGTTTTTATTAACTTTCATGTACTCTGATTTCAAATTGGTGATATACACACTCGATATAACGTGATTTGAAAAAAAAATATAGTTGAAGCGTGACTACTCAATCAACCGTATCGATACTCGAAAAGACATATATAAAAGCCTCGGCTTCACTTTTATACAGGGGGGAAGTGTGTATTACTGGGTGAAGAATCATCTTTATTAGACCATCTTCTGGTACATAACGCATAATTCTGTTCGGCTCTCCAATGTAACTGGTAAATAATTTAATCTTACTTGTAACACGCATTTTCATTGGCTTAAAAAATTAAGTTATCAGCCCATAACGTAAAAAATGGCGTCGCCGTTTGTAGCGTCGCTTTTGATTGGCGGATACAGCGGCGTAATAATTTCAAAGAGAAAAGAGTTCATCAATAAAAGCGGATTTCCATAGGGATTGTGTATAGTTATAAGGATTGACTTGAATATATTTTTTATGTTATGGAGCTATAACACACAAAAAACGGAGTGTACTTTCATCATAAACCGCTTCGCTTCGCGGTTTATTTAGAGTACACTCTGTTTTTTTGTGTTATATCTCCATAACATGAAAAATATATTCAAGTTAATCCTTAAATAACAACACAGCGTTTGTTTAGGAATTAATGCAAAGTCTTAGGTTGTTTCTGATTGATCTGAAAACATATATCTTATAAATGGGTTTTAACATTGAACATAACGCTGCTTTTAGGTAAATAACAGCGTTGTTTACAGTTGTGAGCTTTATGTGGTAATTAGATAACAACTTTGTTTACAGTTGTGAGCTTTATGTGGTAAGTAAATAACAGCGTTGTTTACAGTTGTGAGCTTTATGTGGTAAGTAAATAACAGCGTTGTTTACAGTTGTGAGCTTTATGTGGTAAGTAAATAACAGCGTTGTTTACAGTTGTGAGCTTTATGTGGTAAGTAAATAACAGCGTTGTTTACAGTTGTGAGCTTTATGTGGTAAGTAAATAACAGCGTTGTTTACAGTTGTTAGCTTTATGTGGTAATTAAATAACGACTTTGTTTACAGTTGTTAGCTTTATGTGGTAAGTAAATAACAACTTTGTTTACAGTTGTTAGCTTTATGAGGTAAGTAAATAACAACTTTGTTTACAGTTGTTAGCTTTATGTGGTAAGTAAATAACAACGCTGGTGTGCATTTCTTGACTTTATCTGAAAAATAACAACTTTCCTAGTCCGAAGTAATTATCTCCTTTTTATAGGGTGGAGCATAAAAAATGACAAGGAGCTCGAGTTATTTCGGACTAGTACTGCAGGAATAATAGGATTTAATTACATACATAGAAAAGATCGCCAGTACGTTTGCCATCTTCGAAATGCCAAGATCTCGATAAAGTATTTGCTTGGTTCCATCACGGAATTAGATCAGATCTAAGTCCGTGGTTCCATATAACAAGCCTTGGGTTTTTTTCATGTTAAGTTCAAGGATGGAGGGAAGATATATATTGACAAAGGGCAAGTAAATTATATATATATAATTGTGTTATTGACAAAACAAACGTTTTCACTTCAGACCTGAAGATCTAATACAGTGGAAACATGTGTGCGAAATGTAACGTCTTCTTTGTCAAGAACACTTATATATATATATATATATATATAAGCATAGCATTAACTTTTTAATAAATTCTCATACTTGTTAGCTTTATTTGGTAAATAACAACGCCGCTAATGTTTGATAGTGTTACACGGAGCTAGATAAGAATCTAAGCCCTTGTTTTTATCTTACCGTACCCGGTAAGTTATGTCTTCCAAACATAGAAAAGATCGCCAGTACCGTTAAAATCAGGCGTTATCTACGTTAACTTCCTTAATTAACAAGTATGTTGTTCATAACGGAGGGTTTGGCACCCTGTGAGGCCCTGGTAGTGTGAATACAGGTGAGAATTGCTTGCCACGGCTTTGACAGGTGACACCGGAACATTTTTTTTCTCTCTGGACATTTAATGGTCTTTCTTACGGTAACTCAGCTAATATAAGCGACGAAAATTAGTCTGTCAAAATGTAGTGATCGTGACTGTCCGGAGTGTTAGGCTTGACCATATCGTTCCGACATGTCGCCGAGTTCGCCGATTCACACTCCGTTTAAGGTGGTGTTAATGAACACGTGTCGTTTCCTTTTGACGTCAGATCAGCTAGAGTTCCTCTGTCTTGTGAATAGAGGTGCTGTTCAAAAAATCCTGATTTAAAACATAGTTTCCGTAATGTCCAGCCTCTGTTCAATATGTACAGTAACACCAACACATTGTATATATAAAAATCACTTATTGTTTATCACTTATCGAGCCCCAGCGACGACACTATCTTTATCACTATTCCTCGTCGTAATACAAACTGGTGCCGTTGACCCTCCCCGTTCAAGGTAGGATAATTATAACCATTGGCGGGGAGTCAAAGATTCTGGGTTGGTGTTTGAAAAAATGGGGGAATAGTGTAAAAGATGTGCGTTGATTAGGTTGCCTTACAAGCGTCTCAGCTGTAGGGAATTTCCCTTTAGCTCAGCGGTAGAGCATCGTGCAGGAGAGTCAATTAAGGGTCGCGGGTTAGAGCCCCAGCGACGGCACTATCTTTATCACTATCACTCGTCCCACTACAACGCATTATTCAAATTAAAATAATACATTGTTTACATTTACATCAACACATTGTTTACACAAAAATCAACACAATGTTTACATTAACATCAACACATTGTTTACACAAACATCAACACATTGTTTACACAAACATAAACACATTGTTTACATAAACACAATGTTAACATCAACACATTGTTTACATTAACATCAACAAATTGTTTACACAAACATCAACACATTGTTTACATTAACATCAACAAATTGTTTACACAAACATCAACACATTGTTTAAACAAACATCAACACATTGTTTACACTAACATCAACACATTGTTTACACAAACATTAACACATTGTTTACACAAACATCAACACATTGTTTACACAAACATCAACACATTGTTTACACAAACATCAACACATTGTTTACACAAACATCAACACATTGTTTACACAAACATCAACACATTGTTTACACAAACATCAACACATTGTTTACACAAACATCAACACATTGTTTACACAAACATCAACACATTGTTTACACAAACATCA